CTGTCTACTTCGATCCCCCCCCCCAGCTCCCTCCCCCTCCCTCGCCGCCCACCCAGGCACCCCAACCCAACCCGAAGGCCCCAGTTTGCCGTCCACTCCCAGTGGTGGGGACGCCGGGACGCATTGAAGCAGCATCTGTGGATCCCGTGCACCCCCCCCAGCCCGAACTTTGGATCTTCGGGTTGGGCTGGGGTGGTCTGGAGGGTAGTCACTTCTTCCTCCTCCCCATGCTTCCGCCACCTCCGCCTCCTCCCCCCGCTGCTTCCCCTATTCCTGGGGGTTCCGCGCGCGCGCGGCCGTCGCCCCGCAAGGCGACGACGACGCGGTGGCGATCAGAAACCTCCGCCAGCAGTTGCAGAAGGACGGCTCCCCCCCTCGCCTCCTCTCCCCCCGCCCGGGGGTCAGGATGGCCGGGGGTGGGACGGGCGGGATGGAGGGAGGCAGGCGCGGGAGTGTGGGGGGGAGGAGGAGGCGGAGGAGGAGGAGGAGGAGGAGGATGATGAGGAGGAGGAGGAGGACGAGGAGGAGGAGGAGTAGGAGGAGGAGGAGGAGGAAGAGGATGAAGATGTGAATGACGATTCGGATGAGGAGGAGGAAGTCGAATGTGGTCAGGTAGAAGAGGCCAGGAGGAAGGTCGGATGGAGGGAGGATAATGGCAAGCTTATAGAGAGGAGTATGCATGTGTGCTGGGCCTGCTAGCCAATGGCATGACAGTGCATTATTGCCCGAGCTGTGGGAAGGAGTTTGTATGTAGTTGACCCCAAACGGTCGAGGCTGAGAGGGTCGTACCACCAATATGTCAAGAGAACGGGAGGGTGTAGGCAGCAACCGTAAGGCCGATCAGAGCAGTAAACGGAGTACGGGCCAGAGTAAAGGAACGTGCGGTGGACATGAATTATTGCTGCAGAGAGGTATGCAGCTTGTGACCATGACCGCGTACGTGGGCAAGTTGCTCACGTGTGCGGCTGTTGGACATGAAGAAAGCCGGCCTACATGCACTTCTGTATAGACCCCGTGTTGTGTGTAGGGGTTTTCTGGTATACTCCAAACCGTAGCAAGCAATAACAGTGTGAGGCAGCGGTATGTACGGCGCGTTGCCAAAATTGGACGCGTACTGTGATTGCTAGCAGATGGCATGGCCGTGAAATGCCCAGGCAGTTGGCGATGGTTTCGTGTTGTCCCCGAACCGTCGAGGCTGAGAGAGGCGTACCACCAACATGTCAAGAACACGGGAGGATGTGGGCAGCACATGTAAAGGTAGTGAGGAGGAGTGAGCGAAGTACTGGCCAGAAGAACGAGAGTGCGGCTGACAGGTAGTACTGCTGCAGAGAGGTTTGCAGCATGTACCAATAACCGTGCACGTGGGCAATTTGCCCAGGTGTACTGTTGTGGAGCGATGATAATGTCAGCATGGATGCACTTCTGTATAAACTTGCCAGTGTTGTGGGCAGGGGTTTTCTGGTTGACCTCAAACCGTCCCAACACATACAGTGTGAGGCAAACTGTATGTACGGCAGGTTGCCAGGACGCGTACTGTATCTGCCAGCAAATGGCATGGCTTTAAATATTGCCCGAGCTTTGGGCAGGGGTTTTGGTTCACCCCGAGCTGTCCGCCTCCTCCTCATCCTCATCCTCATCCTCCTCCGCCTTCGCCTCCTCCTCGTCGTCGTCGTCCTCGTCCTCCTCCTCCTCCTCCTCCTCCTCCTCCTCCCCCTCCCCTTTATCCTCCTCACCCTTCGCCGCCTCCCACACGACCCTCCTCATCCTGCTCCTGCTCCTGCTGCTTATGCGCTTCCTCGATTCCTTTTCCCTGCAAGCATCTTCTCCCTGTCGCACCCCGAGGCCAGTTTTTGGGGTGGGCCGGGCGTTTCTCCTCAACGGAAGCTTAAGTGACAACAGCTCCACGGATGGAGGGCGGGCCGTTTTCAACATGCGGTTCTCGCCTTAGCGCCGCGCGCATTGTTTTCTGAACATCTGCACGAGTTTCACGGATCGAGGGCGGGTCGTTCTCAAAATGTGGTTCTCGCCCTTAGCGCCGCGCGCATTCGTTTTAAACATTTGCAAGAGTTTCACGGATTGAGGGCGGGCCGTTTTCAAATTGTGGTTCTTGCCTTAGCGCCGCGCACAGTCTTTGTAACTATTTTTTAAGGTTTTTCACGGATGGAGGGCGGGTCGTTTTCAACATGTGGTTCTCGCCTTAGCGCCGCGCGCATTGTTTTTAAAGATTTGCCAGAGTTTCACGGATTGAGGGCAAACTGTGGTTCTCGAGCGCGGCGCACATTTGTTTTAAACGTGTCGGGAGTTTCACGGGTTTGGGGCGGTTCTTTTTCAAAATGTGGCTTTTGCCTTAGCGCCGCGCGCTTTCGTTTCTTAGAAATCACCAGAATTTGGCGAATTTTGGGCGGCTCCTTTTCAACATGTGGTTCTCGCCCAAGCGAGGCGCACATTCGTCTTAACAATTTGCAGAGAGTTTCACGGGTTCCCATTACCAACGTACCAG